ATATGTGTGTGTGTGCGTGTATAATATATATGTATATATATACACATATATATAAATATATATATATATATACAATGCATATGTATATATATAATATATATATATATATATATATATATAAAGGAAGGCATAAGGCAGATAAAGAAATAAACAGGGAAAGAAAAAAATAAAAATAAATAAAAATAAACAAACAGATAAATACAAAATATATACACAAAGAAGCAAACGAACAAATAAACAAAAACAAATAAATTAAATAAATAAAAGATAAATAAACAAATGAACAAACAAATGCAGTGTACAGACACTTCGCTGTCAAACAGATTCCTACAACTTCAACAGAAGCAAACAAACAAACAAGCAAATAAAATAAATAAACAAATAAACAAATAAACAAATATAAATATATATATATATATTTATATATATGTATATTTATATTTATACATATAAATATATATATATATATATATATTTATATAAAATCTTTATCTTACAGCTTTCTACGACTTCAACATTCGTCCCTTCAGGAAGCAGCGGAGACACCGCAGCTTTTAATTCGTCTGTGCAAACTAAGACCGTTGTTCTTGCACCCCCATCTGCATGCATCAATAAATATATATAATATATATAATATAGACTTCCTTTGTTTAATTTTATTTAGTATAATAAATAAAGAAGCAGAAATATATATATATATATATATATTGTATATATATGCAGTTATAAAGAGAAGAGATTAAGAAACTGCAAGACAGACAAAGAGAGAGAGAAGAAATAAAAGAGACAGAGAAAAGGAGACAGACGAAATAATAAAAATAATAAGAAAGACAAAAGGAGACAGAAGATATAATAATAATAAGACAGACAAAGGAGACAGACGAAATAATAATAAGACAGACAAAAGGAGACAGAAGATCTAATAAGACAGGCAAAGGAGACAGATGAAATAATAATAATAGGAAAGACAAAAGGAGACAGAAGATATAATAATAATAAGACAGACAAAGGATAATAACACAGAAAAAGAAGTGCTCTCAGCCTCCTCTATCTGTCTCTTTCTCTGTCTTTTTCTGTCTCCTTCTGTCGCTGCCTCCTGTCTATTTCTATTTCTCTCTCTATCTCTTCATCTCTATCTGTCTCTGTTTCTTTATCTTTATCTCTCTGTCTCTGTCTCCTTATCTTCATCTCTCTGTCTCTGTCTCTGTCTCTTTATCTCTCTGTCTGTGTCACTGTCTTTGTGCGTCTCTTTATTATCTCTTAATTATATTTTAATCTATTTATATCTCCTTTCTCTCTTTGTGTCTGTCTCTAAATAACAAACAAACAAATAAACAAACAAACAAACAAACAAACAAACAAACAAACAAACAAACAAACAAACAAACAAATAAATAAATAAAGAATAATAATAAATAAACAAACAAACAAACAGATAAATAAATAAATAAATAATAATAATAATACTGCGCACCTCCTCTATAAAGAGCAAGTCTTATAGAAGCTACAAGACCTTCAAAGGAATTATGACTGCCGCTTTGACTGTACATGAAGAGCACTGCACCAACAACGGGGCAGCTCATATACAGCTTAGAGAGAGGGTTGCTGAGGTGTATAATGCTGCTGCTGCTGCTGTTGCTGCTGCTGCTTGTTGTTGCTGTTGTTTTGTTGCGATGAGCTGTAAGAAAAGATATATCTGTCATGTCTGCTTCTCCTACTACAACAGCTCTTTGAGCGTCTTCAAGAGAAGGGTAAAAGCGATAAAAAACGTAAATGTCTGCACCATACTGACTCCCTATCCACTCCCACAGAGAGCGCATGTAATCAGGAAAAAAACCTGCAGCAAACAAACAAACCACCAGCAGCAGCAGCAGCAGCAGCACCAGCAGCAGCAGCAGCAGCAGCACAAGCAGCACAAGCAGCAAAAAAAACTGTAGCTCCAGCAGCGATTTTCGCCCCAATATACTAAAAATACAACAGCAGCAAACTGCAACAGATGTTGCTGCTGCAACAGCAATTACTGCAGCAACATTTGCTGCTGCAGCAGGATTTGCTGCAACAGCAGGATTTGCTGCAGCAGCAGGATTTGCTGCAGCAGCACTCGTTGCTACAGCAGCACTTGTTGGTGCAGCAGCACTTGTTGCTGCAGCAGGATTTGCTGCAGCAGCAGGATTTGCTGCAGCAGCAGGATTTGCTGCTGCTTCTCACCTGTCGCTACGTTGCCTGAGTAGTCTCCTTCTAAGCCGTTGTTACAGCCGACTACACCTGAAGCTGTCTCCTTCCCAATCGTTGCGACCGTTACAGAGCCTCTTCTTAATATTTGCTGCAGCAAGTCGTCGTCGTGAAGCTCTTCTCGCAGCGGCCAAGGCATTGCAGACGTGCTGCTGCTGCTGCTGCTGCTGCTGCTGCTGTTTCTGCTGTTTCTGTTCAAACTGCTAATGCTCGGCTCAGGAGACACACCACACACCAACAGGGGGACGTACACCCCCTCCAAGCCCCACAGAGGCAGCAGATAATCTGTTAGCTCGCGAGACCCTGCATGCATGCACAGACACAGCAAACAATCCTGCTGCTGCTGCTGATGCTGCTGATGCTGATGCTGATGCTGCTAGACTTCGATTGCTGCTGTTGCTGTTGATAGTACTTAGTGGTGCTGCTGCAGCTGCTACTGCTCTTCATTTGCTATTGTTGATGCTGCTAATACTCTTCGTTTGTTGCTGTTGCTGCTGCTAATACTCTCCATCTGCTGCTGCTGCTGCTGCTGCTGCAGGCTCTCTCCACTTGCTGCTATTGCTACTGGTACTACTCAGATCTTGCTGCTGTTGCTGCTGCTATCTTGCTGCTGCTGCTGCTACTACTCGTTTAATTGGTGTTATCTGACTGCTGATGATCCTGCTGCTGCTGCTTTCCTGCTGCTGCTGCTTCAGTACCTCCTCCCGGCCAATGCTGCTGCTGTTGCTGCTGCTGCTGCCGGGGGGAAGAGGCAGATCAAGGTAGGCGCATGACGCAGCAGCAGCAGCAGCAGCAGCTGGCTACATATAAAGCTGTGCTCGCACTGCGTTGGTGTTCTGCGTCTGTACGCCTAGGCCTCCGTAAACCCTAAACCCTAAACCCTAAACCCTAAACCCTTAACTCCAAACCCTAAACCCTTAACTCCAAACCCTAGACCCTAAACGCTAAACCCTAAACCCTGAACCCTGAACCCTAAACGCTAAACCCTAAACCCTAAACCCTAAACCCTAAACGCTAGACCCTAAACCCTAAACCCTAAACCCTAAACCCTAAACCCTAAACCCTAAACCCTAAACCCCTACCAATGACATGAGAGATTGCTGCATTGATGGCGTCTCTAAGGGTTTGGGTGCAGACTTCTGTCTCTTCTTCAGGGCCTTGCAATTCGCTCATTGTTAGGGGGCCCTCAGACGCATCTGAAGATACTGAAGCATCCTCTTGGGGGCCCCCCGTGGATGCAGCTGCAGCAGCAGCAGCACCACCCCCTGCTGCTGCTGCGCTGCAGAAGAGCAGCAATATGCAGCAGCAAGCAGAACTAAGTACCGTCTGCCTCCGGTGCTTGACCGACATTGCCCCCTTGTCTTCCGTGCTGCTGCTGCTGCTGCTGCTGCTGCTGCTGCGGGTGCTGCTGCTGCTGCCGCTGCGGCTGCTGCTGTGCTGCTGCTGCTGTGCTGCTGCTAAGGAGAGACAAACCGACGAGAATAAAAAAGAAAGAGCAGCAGAAACAGACAAAAGAGAAGGACCCTTTGTGCTGCTGCTGCAGAAGACGATAACGTCCAGCGCCTCACGCAGCCTCGAGTGTGGGGGAGGCAGGGGTTTAGGGTTTAGGGTTTAGGGTTTAGGGTTTAGGATTTAGGGTTTGGCTTCTTCGTTCCTTTAAGCCTACAGCAAATAACACAATAAACAAAACTGCAAGAAGAAGGCAGCAAAAAAAAAGATAAACTCGGGGGGCCCCCAACTGTAGCTGCTGCGGTGTCGCTGATGGGCCCCCCGAGCTGCAGCAGCAGCAGCTGCTGCTGATGCTGCTGCTGATGCTGCTGCTCCTGCTGCAGTCTCTTGCATGTTTTTTATTTCTCGCTTTTTTATTATTTACTCAACAGTGCGACGCAGCAACATCTCCAGCAGCAGCAGCAAAGCTCCTTCCGTTTGCTGCTGCTACTCATATAAACGAACTCCTGCTGCTGCTGCTGCTGCAGCAGCTGCAACAAACGGTAAGACATCACCTTCTCCTCTTGCGTGTTATGTACACTCCAGCTTCGGGCCCCACACCCTCCCTCCAACTGCACAGCCCTTAACACAGGCCCCCCAGGGGTTTAGGGTTTAGGGTTTAGGGTTTAGGGTTTAGGGTTTGGGGGCCCCCCTAAGTGACACCCTCTGGGCCCGTTTGGGGCCTTACGATTCCCCGGGTGGCCCCCTATGGGGGCCTTTGGGAGGCCCATTTGGCGCCCTATGGGGGCCCCCTTGGGGGCCCCCTTTGGTGCCCTATGGGGGCCCCTTTGGGGGCCCCCTTTGGTGCCCTATGGGGGCCCCTTTGGGGGCCCCCTTTGGGCTTCTTGGGGGCCCCCTGGGGGCCCCTGGGAGGTTTGTAAGGGTACTAGGGGGGCCCCTGGGGGCCCCCTTAGTACCCCCAGAGGCCCCCCTAGTACCCTTTGGGGTTTCTCAGGGTATTAGGGGGCCCCCATGGGGGCCCCCTAATAGCCTTAGGGCTCTTACCTTGAAGCAGTTTGGGGGCCCTTGGTTATTTTGTGTTTTTGTTTTTGTTTGTTTTGTTTGCATTTAAATGCACTGTATCCTCTTTTTGTCTCCTTTTGATGTTGATGTAGCAGCTTGTTGAGTAGCTGTCTCTATCTTCGTCTCTAACTCTGTCTCTGTCTCCGTCTCTGTCTGTCTGTCTCTGTCTCTGTCTCTGTCTCTGTCTATCTTTGTTTATATCTTTATTTGTCTCTGTTTGTCTCTCTTCTTCTCTTTGTTTATCTTTCTTTGTTTGTGTCTGTTGATGTTTGTGTTTTGTTTGGGCTGTATAATTATTAATTTTTTTGTCTTTGTTTGTTTATATCTTTCTACGTTTGTTTTTACTTCTGTCTTTTTAATTATCTCTTTTTTGTTTTATTGTGTTGTTCATTACTGTCTCTTCTTCTGTCTCTTTGTTTATTTTGTTTTGTCTCTCTTTGTCTTTATTATATTATATTTTTATGTCTTTGTTTATTTTCTTTTGTCTTTATCTTTACTATAATATATTTTTATGTCTTTGTTTATTTTCTTCTGTCTTTATCTTTATTATAATATATTTTTATGTCTTTGATTGTCTTTGTTTATTTTGTCTTTAATATATTTGTTTATATTTTTCTGTCTTTGTTTGTTTTTGTGTTTTAGGAAGCCCCGAAGGACATATCTATTTATCTGTCTCCTTTTATATATTACTTTTACTCTATTACTTTTAATTTATATCTTTTTAAGCGTCTCTTCATCTTCTGTCTCTCTTTGTCTTATATCTTTTCGTCTGTCTCTTCACCTATCTACTGTCTCCTTTATCTCTTTCTGTTTTCATTGATAACTTTATCTAAATATATATATATATATACATATATATATTTAATAACTCTTAATAATCTTTATATTATCTCTCTGTCTCTTTTATTATTATTATTATATTATTATTACTATATTATTATAATTATATTATTATAATTATATTATTATTATTATTATTATATTATTATTATTCTACTGTCTCCTTTACCTCATGACGGATTTATCTGTCCCCGGGGCCTTCGGGGTCTTCACAGATTTTGAGGGGCCCAAAGCCCTCTTCTTTGTCTCTAAAGCGGATGCACCGTCGCAGCAGTTGCTGCTAGCTCTCCCCCATCTGCAGCAGGTTAAACAGAGTATTCTTTATTCTATGCTGCTGCTGCTGCTGCTGCTGCTGCTGCTCATGATGATGATGATGATGATGCTGCTGCTGCTCGTGCTGCTGCTCATGATGATGCTGATGCTGCTGCTGCTGTTCTTGCTGCTCATGCTGCTGCTTGTGCTGCTGCTGCTCATGCTGCTGCTCATGCTGCTGCTTCTGGCGGTGCTGCGGTTGCTGCTGTCTGTATTGCTGCTGCTGATGTTGCTGTTTGTGATGCTGCTGCTAATGCTGCTGCTTGTGATGATGCTGTTTGCTGCAGCAGCAGCAGCTGCTTCTGCTGCTGCTGCTTCTGCTGCTGTCGTCCTTGTTGCCGCACAATCTGGTGCATTAGCATCTGTGCTTCTTTAAAGGGTTTTGCTGCTGCTGCTGCTGCTGCTTTTAAAGGATTTTTCAGGTGTCTCCTTCGGCCAGCTCGATGTCTCTGCTGCTTCTACGTGTCTCCTCGCCAACGCTGGGGTGTCTAGGCACCCCACAGTAAACTTCTACTTTGTGCGTCTGCGCTGTCTCTGCTTCTTTATCTCTCTTATTATTTCCTTATATAATTGCAAGTGCAGAGGAGATGCTGCTGCTGTCTCTGTTGCTGCTGCTGTTGTTGCTGCTGCTGCTGCTGTTGTTGTTGCTGCTGCTGCTGCTGCTGCTGTTCGCGCTGCACCTGTGGAGGTGTGGGTTGCTGAGGGCCTGTGTGTCTCCTGTCTCCTTTTCTCTTTCCTTATAGGGCTTCGTTTGTCTCTCTCTTTTGCTGCTGTTTGTCTCTGTTTAAATATGCTGCTGCTTGTCACCTTTGCTGGTGTTTGCGTGCTTGGGGTGTCTCCTTTGCTGCTGTTTGTCTCCTTTTTCTGTCTCGTTTGCTGCAGCTAATTTATTTATTTATTATTATGACTGTCTCCTTTGCTGCTGTCTGTCTCCTTGGGGTGTCTCCTCAGGGAGCGAAGCAGCTGGGACAGTTGGTTGGCTTTGACATGCCTCGTTTAGTTTCTTGTTTGCGGTGTATGGCGACAGCAGCAGATGCAGCAGCAGCAGCAGCAGAGCTGCAGCAGCTTCTAGGAATCCCTAAGGAGACTGAAGAACAGCTGCATGCACGCCTGTCTCTTCTTGTAAAGCAGCAGCCAGTTATGCTGTTTATGAAAGGAAAGAGAGACGCCCCCTTCTGTCGCTTCAGCAAAGCTGTGCTGCAGCTGCTGCAGCAACAGGGAGTCAAACAGTTCGGCACTTTCGATGTCTTCGACGATGAAGCGGTCTGCTGCTGCTGCTGCTGCTGCTGCTGCTGCTGCTGCTAATGTGCTGCTGCTGATGGTGCTGCTGCAAATGTGCTGCTGCTGGTGCTGATGTTGCTGCTGCTCCTGCTTTTTCTTCTTATGCTGCTGCGGCTGCTGATCCTTTTGGTGTTGCTGCTGCTGCTTCTGATGCTGCTGCCACTTCTGGTGCTGCTGCTTTATCTGCTTCTGCTGCTTTATCTGCTGCTGCTGCTTTATCTGCTGCTGCTGTTTGATCTACTGCTACTACTTGATCTGCTGCTGCTGCTTGATCTGCTGCTTTATCTGCTGCTTTATCTGCTGCTTTTTTTGCTGCTGTTTGATCTGCTGCTGCTGCTTTATCTGCTGCTGGTGCTTTATCTGCTGCTGGTGCTTTATCTGCTGCTTTATCTGCTGCTTTATGTTCTGCTTGATCTGCTGCTGCTGCTTTATCTGCTGCTGCTGCTGCTTTATTTGCTGCTGCTGCTGCTGCAGGTGCGTGAAGGGCTGAAGAAGTTTTCGGATTGGCCGACGTATCCACAGCTTTACGTCAACGTGAGACGTGCATAAACAGAGAAAGCCCTCATATATAATATAAATATAAATATAAATATATATATATTTATATAAATATATATGTATATATATATAAATGTATTAATATATTAATGTATTAATGTATTTATTTATTAGTTTATTAATATATTTATATATTAATGTAGAGAGATATCTATAAATATATATATATATATATTTATTTATTTATATATATTTATATTTATTTATATATTTATTTATTTATATTTAAAGATTTATCTCTATCAAAATGTTATACCAATTTATATTAATATATTTTCCTTACTAAGTGTCCACATTATAAATAAATATATATATATATATATTTATATTTATAGGTGTATATATATAAATATATATATATATATACATATAACTGTTTTATATGTATATTTATATTTATATAGATTTGTTTACCGGTCTCATGCAGGAGCGGACTTTGTATAAAATTTGTGTAATTTTAATAATGTTTAGGGTGTATAACGTGCATAGCAAGCGTCTATTATAATATATATATAGTATATATAATGTCTATATATATGTCTATATATATGTATATATATATATACATATATATATAGATGTATATATATTTATGTGTATGTATGTAATGTGTAATTCTATAATGCACACTTTTATTATCTCTGCCTGTTGCTGCTACTGTTGCATCTGCTGCATCTGCTGCTTCTGCTTATGTCGTTATTACTGCTGCTCTTGCTGCTGCTCTTGCTGCTGCTGCTGCTGCTGCTGCTGCTGTTTGTGTAGGGGGAGTTGGTGGGCGGCTTAGATGTGCTGAAGGCGATGGTAGAGGACGGCTCTTTCAAAGGGGCACTGCCTGCTTCTGCATTTGAGGATGCTCAGTAATATAATTAATACTTTTTATTATTTTTATTTTGTTTATTCCTATATAATAATATATCACAAACAAGTGCAGCAGGAGGAGCTGCTGCTGCATCAGACGCAAGCTGCTGCAGCATCAGACACAAGGTCCTGCTGCAGCTGCTGCAGCAAGAGGCAGAAGCTGCAGCAGAAGCAGCAGGCTGAATCTGCTGCTGTTGACAGGAGCTTCTGCAGCAGGAGACAACAGATGCTGCAGCAGACAGTAGCTGCAGCAGGAGACAGAAGTCTTAGCAGCAGCATACAGAAGCTTTAGCAGCAGACAATAGCTGCAGCAGCAGACAGGGACTGCAGCAGCAGACAAAAGATGCAACAGGAGACAGCAGCAGCAGCAGCATATAAAAGCTGAAGCAGGAGAGAAGAGCTGCAACAGGAGGCAGTCGCAGCAGCAGACAGGAGCTGCAGCAGACAGAAGCTGCAGCATGGGACAGCAGCAGCAGCAGCAGCAGCAGCTGCGGCTGCAGCAGGAGCCAGGAGAGAAGGGCAATGACGTGAGAGAAGAGAGAGGAGACAGCTGCTAGACGGAGACAGACACCTGAATGGAACAAAAGAAGAGACAGCAGCAGCAGCAGCAGCAGAGAGAGAGAGAGAAAAGCAAATAATAATAATAATAATAATAATAATAATAATAATAATAATAATAATAATAATAATAGTAATAATAATAGTAATAATAATAATAAATATATAAATAATAATAGTAATAATAGACACAACTACAAGACAGCAGCAGACATTTATATAAAGAAAGGAGACAGACACCCCGCGGGCGTCTCTCTTTCTTTTTTTACTTCTTCATTTTCTCTCTCAATGAACTAACAGCTGCTTAAAGCCCTTCCACAATCATCAGCATCTGCTGTTGCTGCTGCTGCTGCTTATGCTGCTGCTGCTGCTGCTTATGCTGCTGCTGCTGCTGCTTATGCTGCTGCTTTTGCTGCTGCTTTTGCTGCTGCTGCTTTTGCTGCTGCTGCTGCTCTTGCTGCTGCTGACGGCTCTTTGTCTTTGTCTCCTGTATGCCTTCCAGGCATGCAACAGACAGCAGCGCGAGCAGCAGCAACAATTACAAGGGGCTGCAATTATAGAACAGCGTTTGTCTGTCTGTCTGTCTGTCTCTTGCTGTCTCTCTCTGTCTCTCTTTGTCTCTCTTTCTGTCTCCTCCGGTCTCCCTCTGTCTCTCCCTCTCTTTGTTTGTCTCCTCCTGTCTCTCTGTCTCTCTTTCTGTCTCTCTCTGTCTGTCTCTGTCTCTCTGTCTGTCTCTGTCTCTGTCTCTCTGTCTCTCTGTCTCTTTCGTCTCCTTTATACGGGCGATTGGGGGGTCCCCTGCCTCTACCGTTGTTAAGGCTGGACAGCACGGGGAGGGCCTAGCTAGCTAGCTAGATAGCAAGCTAGCTAGCTAGCCAGCCAGCCAGCTATGTAGCTATACCCAGTCAGTTAGC